TATAGATTAAAATAAATTAAAAAATATATATAAACTAAAGATATTTATTTTAAATTATAAAAATTAAAAGATAAAATAATTAAAATTATATAGATTAAAAAAATATTTTAACATTTATTATTTTAAAAGATAAAAATAACCGTTTACGTAAGACAAAGGATACCGAAGCGAAAGCCAATAGCGCACAACATATGATATGATAACCTGACCCGAGCCAGGTGGGATGGTTACCACGTGATTCTACTGTTCCATCTATACTCCTTGATCTGTGTGCTTTTTGAATTTCTAACTTTGATTCCTGTATTTTTAGGTATAAGTTTTGAATTTTTAACTTCGATTCTTGTATTTTTAGGTATGAGTAATATATATATATATATATATATATTAGGAATTTGTTTTTTAATTTTTACAACTTTAAACAGGTTAAAGAGTATTAAATCTCATATACAAAACACTTTTCTTACCTAATTAATCATAAGATTTTAAAAAAATACAAAGTTCTAAGATTTAAGAATACACGAATAGCTTATTGTAATAGCAAAATACAATTTTTTAGAAGAGTAATTCAATAAATATGAATGAGAATTTTTTTTTTCTTTAAAATTTTACAATTAATTGGTGAGAGAAATGTTTTGTAAGTAGGTATTTTGTGCAAAGCCGCACATGATAAACAAAATGTAAATTACAGCTTTTTCAATAATATTTCATCTTACACTTTTTTTAATCATGATAATTGTAAGAAGTATTTATCATTATCATCAAAAATAGTAATTAATCACCATTAAGTATTGTAATCATAATTAAAGTGAATATTTGTCTTTTAATATAATTTATTTTTTATTTAAAATTAAAATTTGAACAATGAATATTTTAATTAAGAGATATAAATCATTATCATTTATATCAACCAATATTAGTTTTCATTTTTTTATTATAAAAAATTAGATTCGGACAAAGTGCGGTGTAGACTAAAATCATTCACCAACTTCTTTGAACATTTTTAATAAAATTATTAATCATTTACCTTATTCTCAGCACAAGTTCACATAAAACACAAGAATAGTCAGATTCTATCTTAAATCTTAATTAGTCAGAGCAAGAGTCTGCCATCTTCGCAATGCATGTTCTCACACTTTTCTAAATAACCATTAATTATATTACTTTTTTATTTTATTTTTAAAATGAAAAGAAATGTAAAGTGTCTCTTTTTCTTAGTTAACTACAATAATTTTATTTGATTGAAATAATATTATTTTTTATTATAAATATATGTAATCTCTATAAAAAATTAATTATTTACTGTCTTTTTAATTTAATAAACATTAATTAAAATTAATTTATAATATAATATTAATACATTTATTTTTAATATATTTTGTATACAATAAATAATATAATTTTATAAAAATTAAATAGATAATTTAACATTATTGATATATTAAAAAAGATTAAAAAAAATATAATTAAAAGTAAGATTAATATTGACTATCTTATTTTGTGTGTTATTGTCTCTACCTTTTCTTCACCTCATTCATTATTTTACTAATGGGGTTGCTAGAGTGTCATTGTGCTCCGCTCCCATATCAGAGAGATAAATTGTCTAGATTGAAATAATAGACATACTCATATAAAAAATAAGATAATAATTCTCTCAATCTTAAATATAAGTGAAAGAAAGTTATATTTATTGATCTTAAATATAAATAATTTTTAATTTAATTAATAATATTATATATAAAATATCTTTTATTTAATTGAGACTTAATTTTTAATAATTTATTTTATTATTCATATATCAAGTTCTAATACAAAAAGATAATTTAAAAGAAAAAATTACTTCCAAAACAAAAATCACATTGTTGTTGTACTAATTCCTAAATCATGTCATCCAATATATTCAAATTACTTATTTTATTTGAATGTCTTACATTATGTCGTACCAATAAAAATTTGACATGCCAATTAAAAATAAAAGAAATTTCTATATCTTTAACAGATACATTGTTATCCTTCTTCTCTTTCAATAAAGATTATCGTTTGTCTTTTTATGATGCATCAAAGAAGACTATTAACTGTCTTTCTCTTAAGCACAATGTAATCTGCAACAGTATTCCTCAATGAGATAAAGAAAAGAAAACAATATTCAAGCGTGGATGTATGCAATTTAATTAAATTCCCAAGATAAAAACCACGTAATTTGTCGTGTTTCTTGTGAGCTATAACAACTTCTCAAGACTATCTTTAAATTCTCATGATGAAGGTATCATAAATACTTCATATATGTATTCAATAATTTACTCTATAATATAAATTGCATCCCCACAAATTCACATGAAATAGTGATAATCATGCAATCGATTATCTTTCTCTGTTAGAAATTGTAAACTGCAATCTATAAAAATAAATTAATGAAAATATTTTGTCCAAAATAATTTTTATCTATTGCTGTGAAAAATAGTTCTACCTGATTACATGATCAAATTTTGCTTCTTAGTGTGTAGAGAAAAGATAACTATAGAAAGAGAGGAAGAATAACAACATAATTGTTAAAAACATGTGAAAAAATATTTTTATTTTTATTTTTAATCCAGGTATGAAGATCTTATTAATGAAACATAAGTTAAGAAACGGTTAGTTATTTAAATCTATCAATAGTTATAATAATACAACTCATATTTATTTTATTTTAAAAAAAATATCTTAATATATAAAATTATTAATATTTGGAGTAATCTCCTCCCTCTCCGCTCTCCCAAATTTTTTGCCAAATTTAGAATAATAGAGAAGTTCTTTTGTTAGCTCAAAATAATGGTTAAAAATTAATTATTAGTTTCACTATAAATTAATTATAAATAATGGTTGATTTAAATTATACAATTTATTATATTAAATTTTTAACATTTGTAATAATTTCCCCTTAAAAAATAAATTAGTAGAAAAAAAATAAAATTTATTTAATAATGATTGAAATATAACTATACTTAGTCATACATAATTTTAATAAAGTTTTATTTATAAAATTGTTGTAACAAATTTGAGAGTATTATTAATCTCATTTATATGTTTTAATAGTTTTGTTGATAAAAAAACTACAATAATTTAATATGTTGATTAATTAACTATGCATTTTAAATGGTTTGTTTTGTCACTTATGATATATTAGGTTGTTATAGTTTTGTTATATTATTATATATAAGTGATGTTTTTTATTTTATTTTAATCATTGTTTAAAGTATTTTATTCTAATATAAAAGTTGTATATAATTATTTTAAAAATTGCTATAAGAAAATATAATATATATATATATATATATAACTATTTTTAATTCTAATTTTAATTTTTAACTTTTAGAATGATAAGAAATATTACTTTCCAATACATAGTTTATATTAACTATGCATGCATCCAAACAGTGGCCACCCACCATAGTCCATAGTCCATAACTGCTGGCATTGGGGTGCATTTTCCATGTGACTCCTCATTCCAATTCCCACTGGCAAGAGGTAGTAAACACTAATCACACCAAACACCGGTGAGGTGAGGTTAGCTACCTCACATGCACCTTATCCACCCAACATCAACTCATGGCTCATGGCTCATGGCAGATGATGGATCATCATCCATCTTCCAACCACATGATGATAGAGTGGGACCCACATCTCTGTCTGTCAAGTGTCAACGCCGTTAGATTTTCCAAATATAAAAGTAGTTAACTTGTCTCTGTCAACAAAACCTCCTAGGCCTACGGCTACGTCTTGTTACGCTTCTCTTCTTCTCCTCTGACACTCCACTGCATTGTCTAGTGTTTTCAACTTTCATCACTACTCACCTAAACACCCTCAATTTGCTAAATAACACTACTCCTTTCGCAGTCAACCCATATTATTATTACTCAAATAATTCAACCTCTAATTTTAATAATAATAAGTTTCCATCGCAATACCCACGGACTGGCCCACCCAAACCATAAATTACGAATCACTCTGACCATGTGGGTCCAACAAGGAACGGCATCCATGATGGAAAAAACTTTGACGGTGATTGAATTGATAATACCAAAAACACAAGTCAGAAGGAGAGTTGTGAAAATCTTATTTCTGTATGCAACTGACATATAGACATTACAGTACTACTACTGAAGACTAATTAATTATAATTATGATATTTAACTAAATCCCTATTTTGAAGTTGGAGAAAGAAAATGGAAAATACACTAGAAATAAAAGTGATTTGCATTGTATGAGAAGCGAAGCAGCGGTGGCGGTGGCGGTGGCTGTGGCTGTGGCTGTGGCTGTGGCTGTGGCACTTACATAACGTTGCAGCTGGAGGTGTTCTCGTCGCTGAAAAGGTGTGTGTTGTAAGGGTCTGGAGGAGGGGGAGGGTAGGGGTAAGGGTATGGAGGATACATGTAATTGACAGCTGGAGGGGGCCGAGCGTACATCATTGGCTGAAACCTGTCGTTTCCCATTGCGCGTTGCTGGTTCATCATAGCCAAGTACTGTTGTTGTTGTTGTTGTTGTAACTGTTGGTGTTGTTGTTGGTGGTGGAAAGAGTTCCCCGCCATAGCATCGGCAGGGGGGCC